TCGTTAGTGACTGACGATGTGAAGTCGCCCGTGGCGTGCTGGCTCAGTGTTCTTTACCGACGTCCCTCCACGCTCGAGCATTTTATTCTTCAGTAATCCTTGCAAAAAGGGTCGCGGCCTCTGTGTGTCAGCTCCAAGCGACATGATTGGCCAGACACATCGTCTGACGAGAATAATGGACCAGATACAAGTTTCTTAAAGCCTACGTCAATTTTTACTTGTAATATCTTCACTAAGACACGTGATTATCATTCGGGTTTCCGCTAAACATCATCATCTCAACCCACTATATTTCATCCGCTCAAAATTCCCAAACAAAATTTATTCAAGAATGTCATACGTACAGCCTCAAAATTATCGCGATATTTCCAAGCAAACTTAAGCTTACTACAGCAAGTTCTTACGCGATAACATTTGGGTATGACCAGAATACAAAGTGTGGATCCTAAGCAGTGGACCCCGATGTTCGGAATATGACAAGTTCCTGTCGTAAACCTACGTTCAAGAAAGAGAAAACTTGAGAGACCTGGTCGTTGATGGGAGGATAAGACGCCGTTATGGAGACAGGGTGTGGACTGGGTGATGGCGGGGGCGAGTGGACACGATAACGAAACTTGCAGTTTCGTAAAAGGCGACGGGTAATTTCCTGAACAGCTGAGCGACTGCGTAAGACCTTCTGAAGGAGCTAGGGCGGACTCCTACAACCTTAAAGCGATGCTTCACGGGGTCCGCTCTCGCCGTGGCTGTTTGTGCCAACGGCGATGACCATAATCGCGGCTCTCTTCCTTTGCGACGAGCAGCCCATAAAGCTATCGTAAGTGACAGACAGCACGCGCGGCCATTTGGAATAGTTCGCGGTCTGCACTCCGTACCTCTTGATAGACACAGTGCCGTCAGCTGTGGCCTGCCAAGGCTGGTGGAGCAATCACCTGTTTCTGCCCTAAGTCTACTTATGTTAATGAATTATCTTTAAGTAACTCTCCACAATAACCGAAGCCGCAATATAACCGAATCGGTAGTTCTGTGGGCGTGCATCTGATCTACCTGTAGCAAAACCACGTAAAAGATACCCCTTTTCAAAAGCTGGTCGTGGTTCAAGACCTCAAGAAACCACCAGAATTTATAAGGTAAATTAATAGGCAAATTTTTTGTAATAATTCACAGGTAACCAGAGTCATACTGACAACATGAAGACGAAGATTTCTGTCTTGAATGGTTGAAGTTTACAGATCTGCTGCCAAAACAACACCCTGAACAAGACAGATTCAAGCGAAACATCTGCCAACGGGGCGGACATAAGACAGGTGCATTACCGCGTCCTTAAGAATAAAGGCAGAACATCCAATCACTCAAAAACCGAGAGCGTTATTTGCCTTGGCGAAGTCGTGACGCGGTGCTT